ACACTCCCACCAACAGTGAATAAGGGTTCCAGTTTCTCCACAACCTCGCCAGCATTTGTTGCTTGCTGTTCTGTTAAATTTTGCTATTTTGACTGGGATGAGATGATATCTCATAGTTGTTTTGCACCTTTCTGGTAAATGGAATGCTTTGTCATCATGTAGCTGGTCCTGTTTTTAAGAATTCTTTATGTTCTGAAATACATTTGGTCAGGTAATAACACCTACTTCATTCTGGTTAATGTTTCTGGAATATTTTTTCCAATCTTTGTCATCTTTTCTATTTTGCTTCAGGTCTGATTATTATAAAAACATGCAGGTTTGTTTGCGAATTTCCATTGCTATGACTGCTATGGGGCGATTACTCGGAAGGCTGACCTTATTTCTGTTTATTCCTCTTTATAAATGTTTCCTGCATCCCTTCTGCTTTTTTTCGAGAATTATCTTTCTGTCCCTCCATTTTAGTTTTTCCTAACAAGGTTTTTGGGTATTCCTTTAATGGTTACCCTTTAGTTTTTACTTTACATATTTACCTTAACAAAGTTAAACAATACCTTAACTCATTCTTCCTGAATAAAAGGCTCTTTGAATAACTCAACTCTGATTACCTGACTCTCAAATGCACATTGTATTCCTGTACAGTATTTTTAGCCCGTCCTTTCTTTGAAAACCCCAAAAACTCCTTTCTATAATGCTTGTTTGGGTTTGTGTACCCAAATATTGATCATTGCATCTGAAATGCAGCAGTGAAGAAAAGTTCGCTTAGGGCAGAACCCTTCGTGATAAACTTTTCCAATTCTATATCTTGCAATGATTTTAGGTACACAATTCTAGGGCATCAGGTGTTCTTTTAAAACTGTCATCTGGCTTCCAGAATTGCCAGATTGTTGCGGTCACGTCAGTCATCATTCCTCTGCAGGTGATGTGTCCTTTCTCTCTATCTTCTCTGATGTCAGAGATACGTGTCTTTTTCCTTCACTGACCTTTCCTTTAAAAAAGACCTGGCACACAGTAGGTTCCTACTCCATACTTGCTGAAGGTCTGAATGAATGGCTACTTATTTCATTCACAGTTCACCCAGGTTAACTTATGAAGCTAGCAAAGAATACTTAATATATCATAGACTGCCAGAAGAATGAATGAACCTGTGTTGGAAGAATAGCAGCAGAAAGCTTCTTCCTCTTGATATGGTCACATCGCTGACTCATCTGTCAGTCTGTCCTATTCTGGTACCTTCTGTGTTGTTATGATGCTGGAAGCTCTGTCACCAGTACTGCAAACAGGGTTATAGGGTGCACAGGCTTCAGCAAAGCTTCTAGCCCAAGACAGGTTAAGGAACAGTACTGGTCATCTACTTCTGAAATAATGGGCCCTCGAAAACACTATGACTAGCAGCAGAACATTGTCCGGTAAAGTGCCAGAAGATAATCCCCTTAGGGTGAAGGGCACTGAAAGGACAAGTGGGGAAGAGTCTCTTCCTCAAGGCAGCGTCTATCTTAGTGACTTGGATGGAGTGATGCTTTCACCCAAAGCATGACCTTCATTTCCTGGTATGGCAAGATGCAAAATGAGGAGAAACGGCTACAAAGCTCCATTAATAATGGGGACATAGAACGCACAGAGTATTAATCTAGGAAAGTCTGAAGCTGTCAAAAATGAAAGGGAACACGTTAAGAGGGGAGATGGACTGGTGCTGGCTGTTCTGAATGAGATCGTGACCCACTACACTGGGTGGGAATGATGAACCGAAGAGGAATGGTGTCACATCTGTCATCAAAAGGAAGAGATCAAGATCTGTCCTGAAGCACAATGCTGTGACAGGACTATCCACACACACTAAGGACTGATGCCTCTGAATTGTGGTTGTTGCTGAAGCGCTCTGACTGTATCACTGGTCACCAAAGAGCACACAGAACTGTCTGAAATGCAGTGTGGTCAGGCTGCTCCTCAGAGGCACGGGGGTGGGATTCTGCCTTGCACACTTTGGATATATTACCAGGAAGAGTCAGTCCTTGGAAAGGACGTCATGTTCAGAAAAACAGAAGGTCAGTGAAAGACCCTCAAGGAAATGGACTGACATAGTGACTACGACAATGAGTTTAGGCATGGCGGAATTTGTGAGGCTTGTGTGGGATTGGCCAGGTTTTAATCTGCGTGGTACAGAGTCAATTCCATGGCTCCTAACTACGGAAATAGTAACATTTATATGTACAATATATTATGGAGATATGCAGTGTATGTGCACTATCTTTTATATGTTACATATATATAATACATTGCTATCTCACACACACTCCCTACTGCAGAGTCTGAATCAACTTGTAAGTGACCACTTCGCGGGTTTCTGAGGCTGTAAATCACATGGGAGATTGCCCATCTTGTCGCCAAGGAGTGGCTGATGGAATCAATGCACCAGAGAAGCATGGCCTTGGGGCTTGGCAGAGCAACGCCCTATGGACTACGTCACTGGGGCTCCCTGTATAGTGTGAGGGTCTTTGTCAAACTTTGCTGTGCATTTCTAGCTTTTCCTATGTTTTGCACCAGTGTTTTTATTTCTCAAAATCTAGAGGACTTTCTTTTCAGACAATTTGTGAAGTGGATTTTTGCTGATAGTTTCTCAAGTTGCTCCTCTTCCTCAGCTTCTTCTACAATCCATTCTGCGTGCCTCGGGTGCTTCTCTGCCAACTTAACACTTTGGGCCTCTCTTATCTCTTTTGTCTGTGCATGTGTCATATCTGTACAGGGGTTATTATATCTGACCACTGGTGGCTTAGTGGGTAAGAAGTAGTGCTGTCACAAAAAATGCAATTAGAATCCATCAGCTGCTCTAAGGGAAAAGATTGGCAACCTCCTGTGTTCTGAGTCAAGGACACATAAGAAACAACAGTATAAAAAAAAAAAAAGAAACAACAGTATCACTATAACTGGAATTTGACAGGGAGTGGTTGTTCCACATGTAAATTTCAGAAGACAAAGGCCATCTCATAAGGCAGTATATAAAGTTGAGTGGACTCTTAATTGCTATGTTATATTACTGCTCCTGGGTGAAGCCGGGCTGCTCATTGGAGGCAAGGATTCTGAAGCTTTATCTGACATACTCTGGACATGCCGCAAGGAGGGGCCAGTCCTTGGAGAGGGACGTCATGCTTGGGAGGGTGGAGGAACAGCGCAGGAGAGGAAGACCCTCTATGAGATGGATTAATGGAGTAATGGAGATAGGCGTGTTGGAGACAGTAAGATTGTCAAGGAATAGAGCAGGGTTTAGGGCTGTTGTACATAGGGTCTCTATGAGTCGAGATTGACTTGACGGCACATAACAACAACAACAACAATAATAACATATATTTTACAGGAATTTCAGTGGCAAGGTCCTTAACTAGAAATAAGCAAATTAAGGTAAAATCTTAAAAATAATTTTTTGTACAAGTATCACACATAGAGATAAACTAATTTTTCCCCCTAGCAAGTTCTATAAAAATGCCACTTTGCAAAGATTTGTTTCATGATTTCAAAGAGAAAAGATATTTCCAGGTTGTGTTTCCATCCAGTACCCAAAGTATTCAATACTCTGTACCCACAGTAGGGAACATCTGACTTAATTTGTGTATCTGGATGCCATGGTTTCCCCCAAACACTCATGCTGGGGTGCAAAGAGAAAACTGATTAGATGATTCCCTAAAAAAACTAAGTAAGCAGGAAAAAGGAAAAAGAAATGAAACATTCTTCATGGGGTTATTTCATGTGATTCCTTTAGTTTCTCAAACTTATTGCCTGTGAGCTAGAACTGCCTCACAGCTGACCCTCCAGGGAGCGTTCAGAAGCGGTCAACTGTCCATCTTTCTCCCTCAGAGCCACTGGTGGATTCAAGCCGGTAGAGATCGCCACCTTCGGGTTGGCCAAGCAACCACCCAGGATTACCCCCCCCCCCCCCCCGGCAGCGTTCTCTACTCCTTCAGTTACCAAGTGCCAAGCAGCTAACACAAAAGGTAAGAGCCACAGTGGCAAACAACCTGGAAACGAAGTAAGAAGGCCAGGCTTCCTGCAGTGTGTGACCTACCTTTTCCAAAACTTTGGCAATTCGAGTCCCAATTTGTTCAAGTGACTGTTGTGGATATTGGTCTTTGCCAAGATTTTGCAACACCTGGAACAGGGAGGAAGATGACAGATGAGAGCAATGAACACGATCAAGACTTAAGTGACACTAGGTGCTGAGCTGGTCACTAGACCACAAAAGCAAACTTTCTGGGGGTACATATTGTGGTCCAACTGTTCAGGTTTTCTGTGGAGGATACAGTAAGGCCATTTAACTCAGCCCTTTTTCGATGAACAAAAATTACAGACAAGTTAAACACGTTCAGTACAGGAACAAGTACTCTTAACTATCTACTGACTGATGTATCATTCTCTCTCTATAGGTATTCTATTATATGTTGTTGTTGCTGATTGCCTTTAAATCAAGCATGACTCATCATGACCCTATGAACAAAAGGCCTGAAGGCTTTCTACAACTATCGACATTTATCAAAATTCATAGAGTATCTGGAGGCGTGTTGTATATTATTCTTCCACAACATATGGAATCACACAATATACAGGACTACTTTGGAGAAAGGGTGGGTTTGGTTCCAGATGACCACAATAAAAGGAGTATCACAACAGAGCAAGTCACACAAATTTTGCTCTGTTTCCCAGTGTATATAAAGTTGTGTTTATACAACAGTCCATTAAAAGAGCTCTGGTGGCTTAGTGGAAAGGAGTTGTGCTGCTAATGCAAAGGCATGTGGTTCAAATCCACTAACTGCTCCTCGGGAGGAAGATGGGCAGGCTCCTCCCACATGCTCTACTGTCTATGAGAACCTGCTGAAGGATCAGGTCCGATTCGGTTCTGACTTGATAGTGCACCCAACACAGTCCACTAAGCATGCAAGAGCCTTAGGAAAAGTGTGAAATACTGTGGGGACTACCAAGCTGTGACCCAGAGATACAAAGTGAACACGTGCTGCTGGAAAAATGATACAAACAAACTTGCTGGACACTGAACTGCCACAGTTAACTACAGAAAATGTGGTATATGTGAAACATAAGACAATGAAGTGAAATAAAACAAGGTCTGATTGTTTTTGTTATCTACAGTTTCATATGAAATACTCTGAGAATGTTTTAATGCCCCATTTCTAAAAATTCTAGTACATAATTTTTAATAGTTTTCTTATAGGAAGCACTGGTGGCCTACTGGTAAGAAGCTGCACTGCAAACCCGAAGGCACGCGGTTTGAATCCACCAGCTGCTCCGCAGGAGAAGGATGAGCAATCTCCTCCCATGAGATTAACAGCCTCTGAAAACCCAGTGGAGGGTCAGCTATGGGTTGGTGCAGACTCAACAGTACACCATCACAACCACCACAACAATAACATTATACTTGCTTACTTACAACAAAATATATTTAATGAAACTTTCTAATGGTGGACATTTGTGCCCTGTTCCCCAATTCTTTCATATACGCATATATACAAGGTCTTCTCCCTTTTCCCTTGTTGGTATTAAGACTGCCAACATAACCCTTATTATCAGCCCCAAATATTTTCCCTAAGAGCCTCTGTGGCTGGGAAGGCAGAATGCTACCCATCTCAAGGACTGAATGAGAATCAAGATTTCTGGTGAGATAAAAAGCACGAGTTCTACCTAATAGAAACTAGACATGCCTGAATCACCTAAATTACTGATCAAAGAAGGGAAAGTCCATATGCTTCCCGTGATCAGCTGCATTGTGGCTGGGATGGTGCAAGGCTAGCCCCGCCGGTGAGCACTCACCTCCGTTAACTGACTCTCCCCCGTGTAGTGCAGGCTGGCTCGGTTGGAGACACCATGCAAATGGTCCAGGGTGTGCATACTGGTGGGGAGGTTGCCATTGCAGACAGGCTCCATCGCTGGCTGCTGTATCGGGGTGGCAAAGTCTATGTGTTCTGTGATGCTGAAAAATGGAGATTATCAAATTAGCCAGTGAAAATGTGAGTGGGCGGGAGAGAGCGAGCAGGAGCAAGCAGCTGATCATAACTTCAACACGCCATCAGGAATGTCTAGAGTCATAGACTTTTTTTTAGGCTGGAAGAGACCTTAGAAGTGATTTTGTCTAGTCTCACATTTTACAAGGAACTCCGTGTCTGGCAATGACTATCGGGAGAATGTCCAAACGGACTGAAGCCCAGATCAGAGCTGCAATGTTGGCATGCGGCCTGAACTCAGTGCTTTTCCCAACCTACTCACACTGCCTTCTTTGTATCCAAGGGGCACCTGGCTTCTCTTAGGGCTGGCTATCTTTTCACTGGGAAGTTTCAACACTGGTGAATTTTCTTCTGGGATTCCCCTGTACAGGGTACAATAGGGAATAAATACTCACAAGAGGTTTCTTTTACTTTCTCTTTATACACGGAGATACACTTGACCCTACAAAAAAGCTCCTTAAAACTTAAATTTTATATGGAAGTATCTCGCATTTTATCAGAATGGACTTTATTTCATGGTTCTAAAGGGTCATTTCCCCACTACCCAAAACCAGCTCTCTTCCCATGAAATACATCCTGACTCATTTAATAACTCTATACGACGACAGACTAGAAGTTTCTTGAAGGTTTTCTGTGTGTGTGTGTGTGTGTGTGTGTGTGTGTGTACGTGTACTGTCAAATCAGATCTGACTGGTACAGGAGGAGATTGTCCCTCCTTCTCCAGCAGAGCACCTGGTGGATTCGAACCACGTACTTCTGGGATTGCAGTGCAACTTCTTGCCTCTAGGCCACCAGAGCTCCCTCTTGAGGGTTTTCAAGGCTATGGTATCTTTCTACTGTGGAGCAGCTTCTGGGTTTGAACCAAGTACCTAACGACTGTACCTTCAGGAATCTTTTTCCCACTTGGGGCTAAAACAAAAGTAGTAGCATGGAAGGCTGGCATTTCCAAAAGTTTACTTCTAGCCATTTAAAAAGGTAAATATGTATTAAGAACATATTCATTCAATTATTTTTTGATCAAAACCTACTGCCTCCACCAGATGCTTTGCTGTAGAAGGAGGGGCAATCTCCTCCTGTGCCAGTCAGATCTGATTCGACAGTACACAATAAACAAATCAACCAACCAACCCTTCTGCCATTGAGTTGATTCCAACTCATAAGATCACAGAGGGCATTCCAGAACTGCGTAAGGTTTCCAAGGCTGTCCATGTTTCGGGAAGCCGGTGGCCTAATTGTTCATGCTGGTTAGCAGAGCAACACTTGTGGGACTATGCTACCAGCACTCCAGCCTGGGTAGCAGGAGGCTTTCTTTATTTCCTCTGCTCTGGTGTCATGGTCAAGAGGCCACACCTCTCTGGTGGCCTGAATCTCAGAGACAGATGGGCAATCTCCTCGTATGGGATTCACAGTCCCTGAAAACTTGCCAGAGTCAGCTACGTGGAGCTTCTGACATAAGTAGACAAGAAGTTTGAGTTTTAGAGTTTGAGATAGAGAAGGATGCTGCAGCAAGAGATTCCCTGAGGAAATACGATGTTAGTGAGGAGAGGAAGGATGAGTTTGATGAAGCAGGTGGCAAGGTGGCAGGATCAGCACCACAGGCAAAGGAGCCTGGAAGGCCCTGAGACCTCTTCCACAGAGATGGACAGCCTAGTAAGCCCCCAAGAACCTTCTTGTCTGTCTTATAGAGCTAGGAACTGAGTCAAGATGCATTTCATGGGAACAGATTTGGGTTTGCATCATGGGGGAATGACCCTTTGGATCCATGAAATAAAGTCCTTTCAGATAAAATAAAATTGCCCTCAGTTAAAAAAAATGCCTTCAGTTCAGAGGACAGAACTGAGGGTGCAGAGCTGGGAAGAGAGGCCTTTGGGGGTCTTAGTGTAAAGGAACAATGAGGAGTTAGTGGAGAGAGTTCTTAGCATGATTTCACTCACATTTGAGAAAGAATTTTGAGCACTGTGAAGATAATTGTTTGAATAATGGAAAGGAAAAATGGCATGTTAAGTATGACTCCTAGTTTGACACTTTATACCAGGAAGATGGAAAAAGTGGACAAACAGGTTTTCTGGAAAGAAAGTAAGCAAGAAAACCGTTAAGTTTCATTTTCCTGAGCTTGCATTATCAAAGATATCCAGGCAGAGATGGCTGACAGACAACTGGACATACTGCTTGAGAGCTTGGGAGCAAAGTTTGGGCTGGTTATGCAAATTCCAAGTAGTTAAAATATCAATGGTCATTCCAGTCCCAGGAGGGGGTAAGAGTGACTAAGGGTGATGATAAAACAAGAAGGGTTAGTAGTAATTATGGGGAACATCAACATACAAGGGGTAGGGAAGGGGTAACAAAGTAATAATAATAAAACAAAAAATAAGTAGCTAGAGAAGAAAAAGGAATGGTCAGAGAGAACTCCATTCAGCTTGCGTCTTGACTGTTCTGTGCTGCTGAGTGTTGAGTGATACCTTGAGTCGGGTGCCGTTGAGTGGTACTCATACTGGCCCTATGAACAGGTCTCAACCCTGTTCTACCCCGTGCCATCCTCTTCATCTCTGCCGTACCTGAGCCCACTGCTGCAATCACTGTGTCAATCCATCTTGTTGAGCATTTTCTTCTCATTTTCTTCTCCTTGCTGACGCTGTTTTTCTTTTTTTAAATTTTTATTATTTTTGTCTGTGTGTACCAATGAATTAGATCTGACTGGTACAGGAGGATATTATCCCTCCTTCCCCGGCAGAGCATCTGGTGGATTCGGACCGTGCGCCTCAGGGATTGTAGTTGCAGCTCCTTGCCACTAGGCCAACAGAGCTCCCTGACTCTATCTTTCTAAGCATGATGTTCCTCTCCAAGGAACAGCCTTTTCTAGCAACACGCTCAAAGTTTTGCCATACTTGTCTCCAAGGAGCACTCTGGTTGCACTGTCTCCCAGACATGTGTTTATTGTTTTGGAAGTCCATGGGATATTCAGTGCTTCTCTTCAACACAACTGAAAGGCATCAATTCTTCTGCCATCCTTATTCATCATCCAACTCTCAGATGCACAGCAGGTAACTGGAAAGATCATAGCTTATCAGGTGTACCTTAGTCTTTAAACTGGTATCATTGCTCTTCAGGACTTTGGAGAAGTCCCTGACAGCTGACTTTCCCAATGCTGTACGTATCCTGACCTGACTGCTGGTACCAGGGCTGTTAACTGTCGCTCCAAGTAAGATAAGTTCATAGACAATTTCAATCTTTCCTCCTTCTATCATGATGTTGCCTACTGGGTGGTTGTTGTTGAGTACCATTGAGCTGGAACTGATTCAGAGCTGACCCTCCAGCAGGTTTTCAGAGGCAGTGAACTGCATGAGAGGACACTGTGCATCTTTCTCCTGTGGAGCAGCTGGTGGACTTGAACCATGTACTTTAGGGTTGGCAGTGCAATTCTTTACCAGTAAGCAACCAGAACTCCCTCATATTAGCCTTGTTGGTGAGGATTTCTGTTTTCTTGATGTTGAGGTGTAACCCATACTGAAGGCTGCAGCCCCTGATTTTCTGCAGCAAGTATCTCAAGGACTTCTCACTTGCCGCTAGCAAGGCTGTGTCATATGCATAACGCTGGTTGTTGCTGAACCTTCTTCCAAACCTGACACTGCGTTCTTCTTCATAAAGTCTAGTTTCTTGAATGATTTGCTCAGAATGCAGACTGAATAAGTGTGGAGAAAGGATCCAGCCCTGACACACACCTTTCCTGATTTTAAACCATGCAGTGTTTGTTGCTCTGTTCGGGCAAGAGTTTCTTGGGGTAGGCCTAGGTTTCATAGAAGCCTAAATGAGTGTTCTAGAATTCCCATCCTTTTCAATGTTACTCATAGTCTTGGTCTTGGTTATTGCTGTTGTGTACCAATGAGTAGAAGGAGACTCATAGCTGACCCTCCAGCAGGTTTTCAGAGGCAGTAAATCGGATGGAAGGAGACTGCCTACCCGACTCCTATGGAGCAGCTGGTGGATTTGAACCACCAGCTTTGTACTTTTGGGTTGGCAGTAAATTTCTTACCACTAAGTTACCAGAGTGCCTTTGCGTCTTGGTAGGTGTTTCTAAGTTAGGATTTTTTTTCTAGCTCCCTGTTGAAGTGCATAACATCAAGTGTCAGACTATAAATTTGCGTCTGTGTCTGTAAAGAGGGATCCAGTGTTCCATTCAAGCTACGTATGTTACACATAACTTCTCGGTAGCTTATGAAGTGTTGCTGAAGGTACTGAGTAGGGGACACAGTCATGCTTTAGTGTAACGTCCCAGTCCTTCTGTGGGCAGCAATGGTCATCCTCTGAACCATCAACCCTGACAAGTGCTGACCAGGAAAGGCATCCCTGACCAGGAAAGGCATCCCTGGAGTTAGCCGAAGCCCCACTGGTAAACAAAACGGCATCGCGGAGGCAGAGGCACGAGATACTCACTCAATGTTTTTTGAGGAAACTGCAAGCCAGGTGCTCACGATGGCAGTGAGCTCGACCCAGCGGAGTTTGAGGCACTCGTCGGGGCTGGGCCACCCCAGACTCTGGTAATCCCGCTTTTTCCCTGGAAGGCAGGAAGATCACACATCAGTCTAACTACACAGGAAGAGAAGTCAAAATGCCTCATTCCTTGGTGAGTACTGCAGCCAGTCTAGTATCTGGAGGGGCCAGTCATTCTTTTGGGCTTTACAATTTCTGCCATCTACAAAGCTAATGGAAACCTCGCCACTCAATTAAGAGCCTCTTTGAAGAAAACTCATGTACTCAAGACAGATGGTGAAGTAAAAAAAAAAAAAGGATTCCTGTTCTGCATGTAAGAATGATCAGCATGTGATAAGGCTTAAGATATCCTACAATGAGGTACTCTTAGCAAACTTAATTGTCACTCCTGAACATACTGATTTGGTAAAGATCCTCTGACTTAATGAGTGCTAAAGCAGGTTAGTGGACACTTGTGACATCAGAGTAGGACAATCCCCTGTTGTGGGGTCAGTCCCCTGCACTTCCACCCACTCGATGTCTGTAGTAGCCTCCCCACCCCCAAGAGTTGACAAGAGGGCCTCCTGCCCCTGTGGAGAGCTCCGCTGCTGTAAAGAGAGACAGCGGGGTGGGGAATAACAATGGGAATACAGGGTTATCCTGAAGTTGAAGAGTACCTGCTACATCAGGTCCTGTGCTGGGTGTTTTATACCCTCGGCCTCATGAAGTAGGTTTTAATTCTCATTTCCCAGGTGAGGAAACTGGAGGCTCACAGATATTAAGTGATTTGCCCACGTTAGCAAAGGTCACCACATTAGCAGATGACTGGACTGAGACGGAGAGGCAGGTGTTTGAGAGTAAGGAGCATGCTCCGAGCATGAGGCTATTTCAGACTATATGATGGGGTGCTATTTTTTGACAGGTGGGGATACTCACCACTATACTAAAGAGGATGTGCCATGGGGTGTTATTTTTTGTAATAATTTTATAGTGATTTAAGAAAGGAATTATAAAACAAATTAATTTCTCATACAACCATCCATACACATTTGTTCTATAACATTAATTTCAATAATATTCCACAATGCAATCACACTTTTCTTATTTCTTCCCTGTAATTCTGATGTCCATCAATCATGTTAGTATAATCTTTATAGTGTTTTTAAAGTCCTGTTTATTCACAAACATTTTCTTTTATGTCCTGGCCTTATATTTAGACCAATTGTCTCTCCTTCTTCAACCCCTAAAAGAGAATGAACTCTTATCTGGGGAGGGTTCTTTGCAGGGAGCCCACAGTGCAATGGACAGATCTTCAACCCTGCACAGTGCTCTTCTACTGCAAGAATTTACCAACAATAGAAAACTGAGGTATAGATAGGGGGGTAGGTTAGAATTTAATAAAACAGAAACAAATCGTTTGGAAGAATTTTGAATCATCAACATTGTTTAAATTAATATCTTAGTGAAATAAACCATCAATTTCACAATAAACTTATTCTTTTATATTCAAGAAATTCACTTGAAGACCTTTTATTGAGCACCTATTACAAGGGGATGGAAATGTAAGACACTAGAAATACAGAGGACTAGTAAGAGGGCCTGATCTTGAGCTCACAGTCTAGTGAGGAAGGCAACCATAAACAACTTGTTACATTACAACAGGTAAGTGTTAGAGGGGAAAATATAGAAACAACTGCATAGAGGAAAGGGAAATGATTCTGCCTGACAGTACCAAGGAAGAAATGGTACTTGAGTCTGACCTTGAAGGATCTGTTTTAGCACCAGCACAGGTGACAGAAGGGTTTTCCAGGTGGAGGGAACAGTATGTACAAAGGTGTGGAGGTAAAGCAAACATGGTTGGTTTGGAGAAATGCGCTAAAAAAGGTCAATAGGGACCAGCTGTAAAGAGTCTTGTGCGCCACACTAGGAGGCATGAACTTTATTCTGTAGAAAAGGGGGAACCTTCCAGCCCACATCTCTCATTCCCAAGGCCATCATAGCGGTTCTGTTCATGCCTTACTGAAATCCAGTGGCATGATGTCTATGGAACTTGCCTGGCCTTCCAGTATAGTAGCCCTAACCAAAAAAGGAAAGGAAATTAGCTCTTATTGGTTCTATGTAAATCTGCAATGGCACTTAATGATCTTCACTTAGTCCACTTCCCACTCCTGCACTGGATTCACAAACTACCTGTTTAATATTTTGCTTTAGAACTGTCATAATTAATGATGAAGTATTATCAGTCAGTAGTGGATATCAGCTATGCTTATTTAAAAACTGGGATTCTGAACTTTTTTTTCATTGTGATTTTTAATGAAAATTTACAGAAAAGTTGGATTTTCATTCATTTACTATCACACATTTTCCTCCCTATTTCCCCCATACACTGAGTTCACTTAAAAAAAAAAGTTCCTTCACTGTTGCTTAATTTCCTCCCTCCTCCTGCCTGCTAGTACATTTTGCTGTGCACCTTTTATTTTAGGCTACTGTCATACAAATAATGCCTAATCACATGTTCCTTTTAAACAGTTCTTTCCTTCATCTGTTCCAATGCAGTGTGAATGTCTCTTGAATTCAAGTAACTTCTCTTCGCTTTACGGTTTTTCAGTGTATTGACAATAAGTAGTTCCATGATCTCATCTGCAACTCTCATCAATGCCCCACTTGGGTCCCTGAACTTGAATACATTTAAAATTGTTTAAGTGCTTCAATATCATGTCAATTACACTGAGCTTCTACTTTCACTTGTTTTAAGAAAACTTTTTATTTTTACTTAATAGAGTTTTAGTTTGCTTGGCTCCATAGTCAACAGTCTTGGCACCAGCAGCCAGGAAATTAAAAGGCGCATTGCCATGGGAAAGTCTGCTGTTAGGGACCTCTCCAAAGTACTGAAGAGCAATGGTGTCTCTCTGGAGACTAAGGTGCGTCTGATGCAGGCCATGGTCTTCGCAATCACTTGTTATGCATCAGAGAGTTGGACAATGACCAGGGAGGATAGAAGGAGAATTGATGCCTTTGAGATGTGGTGCTGGAGAAGAGTATTGAGAATACCATGGACTGCTAGGAAAACAAACGGATTTGTCCTGGAAAGGGTTAAACCGGGTGGCTCCTTGGAGGCAAGGATTCTGAGGCTCCGTCTAACATACTTTGGACATGTTGTGAGGAGAGACCGGTCCTTAGAGAGGGACATCATGCTTGGGAGGGTGGAGGGACGGCGCAGGAGAGGAAGGCCCTCTATGAGGTGGATTGATTCAGTGACTGGGATAATTGGGATGCGAGTGTCGGAGACAGTGCGATTGGCACAGGACAGAGCAGAGTTTAGGGCTGTTGTACATAGGGTCGCTATGAGTCGCAGGTGACTCGACGGCACATAACAACAACAACAGAGTAATAGAACTCTTTAGAAAATATTTAGAAAATGGTAAAAGTAATACAGCTCATCAGAAGATATTTACAAAATGGAATAGAAGACAGAAGTTCACAAAAATCACCTATGCCCCATCAACGCCTGGAGGTGACCTGACAATACCTGATGGACATTCTTTGCAGACTTATTTCTATGCACTTGCTTGTTGTGCAATATTTCATCAAATCTGTGATCATTAACAAAGTATATGCAATTACAGGATTTAAGAAGAGAATAACTGTGATTATTATTTCAAGATGCCATAAGTTCTAACAATTTTAGGGATGTTGAAATGTGGGGGGAAAAACGATGGTTGATGAAATTGAGTATATATACTATTTTTATAGAAACTGAAGTATATGTTATTTAATAAGCAGCTTTTGTTCCTATTACAAACTACTTTGATGCATAGTAAACAACACAGAGTAATTATTTAGGAAATCCTTTCCTTAGGTTGTTTGCAAATTTTTCTCATGATAAACAACACTCTGGTGATCATCCTGTACTTTCATTTTCAATATGCACAAGACATTTTACGTAGGGTAAATTAATGATGAAGTGTTAGTAGATTTACAGATATACTTCCAAATTTTCTGATACACCCAGTAAAACTATTTACAAAATTAGTCTACTAGTTTTAATTTTTATTATACTTTTAAAGACAATTTGATATGTGAAAGTGGTTATTTCTACTGAGGCTGAATATCTTCTCACATATTTGCTGGTCATTTGCATCTGTGCATATATACTGAATTACCTAAATACCTTATACATTTTCACTGAAATGATGTGTTTTATATGTGGTGTTCTTGAAATGATGGTTCCTGAAATCCTTTGGTTTTCACAAATTCTGTAAACCCTGTCTTGGCCCTCTGCTTATTGGCATCTTGGATGCTCGAAGTTGCTATTATTTTGAGGTTAACTCTCACTCTCTCCTTTGCCTAAGGAAAAAACATCCTTTTTGCATTAATCCAAACTCACTGCCATTAATTCTGACACCCAGCAACCCTCTAGGACTGAGGAGAACTGGCCTATGTGGTTTCTAAGGCTGCTACCTTTATGGAAGCAGACAGTCATCCTTCTCCAAATGATGACTGGCAGATGGGTATGAACCGCTGACCTTTTTGTTAGCAGCAGAATCTGTAATTATTTTCTTATACTTAACCTATTGAAATTTTCATTTCCCTAATGATGCCTTCTTTTCCTTGGTACCAAAGGCAGACCCACTAGTGATGTTTCTTTCCTTCTGCAACTTGTTAACGTGAAACATGTGCAATCATCTTAAACAGGAGGGCTAGCTGTTTCATGCTTTTACTACAAACATGATAAAATGCCCTACTTAGTGTTAGTCTCCACGGTTATTTGTACAAGAAGTCATTGTACTTGCTGGTACTTAGTCAGTCTGATTCTGTGACTGAAATATTATTATTATATCCCCTCTGCTTTTAGCTTTGGTATTGTGGTGTTAGCCTAAAAGTTGGCTTCTTTTAGCCATTACAGTTGGTCGCCTTTGGTTTCCAGCTACCTTAACTGCAGACACATGTTACAAATCAGCATGTAAGACAGAGTGCTTCCCACACTGAGCAGTAAAACTCAAGGCAAGCAAGACTTGCAGGAAACTGGAACAAGACCTTGATGAGCGCGAGACCCTCATGGTGGCAGAGAGACTATGGTGTTGCTGTGGAGAAACTGTGGCAAGGTATGACCTGAAGCTTCTTGCATTTGTGCTGGCCACACAGTTAAAGGTTTTTGTTGTTCTTGATGGATGTTTAAAGGAGAAGCTGACTTAGAACTGCTTTGGGGTATACCTTGCTGGATGATTTGGATTTGACTGAAACTGGAGCCTGGACTTATTGAGGAATTGTGCCTTGGAACTGTTGGGCTAAAATCTGGACTTATATTGGGTGATATTCTTTGCTTCCCCCACTCTCCAACTTACTTCTCTAATAAACCTCATTCTCAATGCCACAAAGGTGAGTCAGCAATGAATAAATGAACCTCCTACTGCAGGTGGGGTTCTAGAGGCACCAGGGAGCTGGGCTACAGGTTCTTTATCTGCTTTTGGTTCTGGTGTGGTGGGAGGTTGAGTTATTCTCACTCCCTCTGGCCCTTTCAGAGAGATGCTCATGGCCCTGTATCCCTATGTCCTATTGTCTGCTCCTATTTAGACAGGTACGTACTTACATCAAATGAAACTAGACATATTTAATGAATAATGAAGCTAATGGGATTTTTCAAATACTAAATTTCAAAAGTACCAACAATTTTCTAAGATTAAAAAAAAAAAGATAAGAACAGTCACTATGAGGAAGTCTATCCCTACTACTAAACTGCTTGAAAAGAAAGTCAGTTATCTGAGCTCATGGCAGTGGTCCTTAGGCCCAGAGCTTGGCTCCAAAACTGTGAGTCTCTGAAATTATATCTCAAGTTTTAGTATACACATTTCTCCTCCTATAGGTGGCTTTCAAAGCATTCATCCAGGGCTTACAAAGATACCTGACACACAAAAACATTATCTAATGGCTTACTGAGGGATCTCTGGGTGGTATAAATAGTTTATGTGCTTGGCTGCTAATCAAAAGGTTAGCACTTCGAGTCCCCTTAGCCAGGCAATCAACTTGTGAAAAATTAGCCATTGAAAAGCCCACAAGCAGAGTTCTGTTCTGACATGAGATTTCTGTGAGGTGAACAATAGCAAATAACTAATAGCTTCTTGAGCACTACAGGTCCAGCACATTTTAAGTACTTGACGTGTATAAACTCTAAGAAGGCTCACAAGCACCCTATGATGTAATTATTAATTGATAGATAAAGATAATGAGGTATAAAGAGGTTAAGTGGCAGAATTGGCACTTGAACCTAGGGAGTCTTGTCAGCAACTCAAACCTTGTCATATGAAACTAGACTGATTAAGGACAAAAACAGGATAATTAATTCCACAATGTTAAGAATTTAAGCACAGTAAAACAGTGAGTAGTTAAAAAAATCTGGTAAAAAAGAAATACAAACCCAAATTTGTTTATACCAATGACCGATTTCTTATTTCCTTAGCCCTTCCACCTCACATGAAATATTCCCCATCATAAGGACACTGTCTGTGAGAACAGAGGCACTGAAATCTACAGGATGAAGCAGTGTATTAAACATCCACATTTACCCTGTGGTCCGGGTGATGCCACCTTTGGGCCAGTGATCTCCAGGTTTGACTGGTGGCGAGGGGTATTTTCTGCTTGGTTTGATTCTATCTTTTTCCCTGGAATTTTCTTATGATCTCCTTTGGGTTTTTTTACACGTTTCACCTGGAATGTGATCTGAAAAGGGGACATAAGAGACCAATGAGAAAATCCTTCAATGACTGTGAATTCTGGTAGCTTTCAGAACAATTGAGGCCTGTGCTTGGGCTAAAATCCTAGCCTTCACTTTTTTTCCTTAAAGGTCTAAATAAAAAGTATCTCATGAAACAAACAATTAGCCTAGGCTAGAAGAATGGAAATGGGACCTTGGTGGCATAAGGGTTAAGTTAGCTTGGCTGCTAATTAAAAAGTGGGTGCCTTGAACCCACTTGGAGGCTCCATAAAGACAAAGTCCTAGTGATGTGTTTCTACAAAATTTACAGCCCAGACAACTATGTAGGGCAAGTCTACCTGGTCACCTGGGGCCAGTCATGAGTTGAAACTGACTCAATGGCACTTAATAACAAGAATGTAGAGAGGAGACAAAAAGTCAAGAAGTATGCAAGCCTTCAATGTGGTTCAGGGCACTCACGTTTCCTGTCTCCCTCAGAGCCCTGGTGGCCTACTGAGTGGGATGCTGCCCTTTCAGCGTGTTCAAATCCACCAGCTAATCCTCAGGAGAAAGACAGGAAATCTCCTCCCATGAAATTTACAGCCTATGAAACCCCCTGGCAGTTCAGCTATGAGTTGATTTGAACTTGACGATAATGTGTGGAGAAGCAGTGGTCAGGAGCATCAGCAAGACCTAAGTAACACAAAATGATTCTTGCAGTGCGATGGCAGTGTGAAGATGGTGCCGGAATAGGCAGGACCTCCACACACCAAGGGGAATGCCCCCTTTACATACTAGGAGCCCCTCACAGACCTCGTCTGCTTTCGGTCAGGACTGAGTCAGCAAACTCTTACCCATTCTGTAGCTTCATCGTCTTCACTTCGGCAGTCTCCATAGCAAGAGCTCTTGGACACCCCATCCTGGGGACCTTTCTTCAGTACCCGTATTCCCTGCAAGTCCAGACGCCGCCCTTTCACGTCGAGTGCACCCCCAAAGCCTTCCAGGGGCCATGCCTGTTGAAATTCATCCACCAAAGCCAGGATCTCTTCAGACATCTTTGTCTCATCGGAATTGTCCATCTCATCAGAGCCATTGCCTTCCTCAACCACTGTACCTAAAAGCCAAGGGCCAGCAAGTTACCACAACAGCTACAGAGTTATCAGTTGTGCATTCCTGTCCTTTCCAAGGTGAACTTTCTTCTCTCTTTCTGCTGAGTACAGATTGAGAAGAAAAGAAAACCCGAGAGAATTTAGAACAACAAATGGGTTATCTCCCTACAATAAAACTCTGTTTTCAAAATAATGGCAACAGTCAGTGCTAGTTTTCTCTTCTGAAAAATGATAGTACAACAAAAAACGTTCTAATCCACTTCCCCCTATTTCTAAGTAGCCCAGCTGTAAAAACACAGCATTCACAACCAGAATGTCTGAGGACAGGGTTTAGTTTATATTACTTACTGAAAAGCTTATGAAGACTCAATTTTCTCACATGGAAAAAGTGATTAGTATCTATTGTTGTTGTGAGCCACTGAGTTGGAACTGACCCAGAGCCGACCCTCCCGTGGGTTTTCAGAGGACATTAACTTCATAGAAGGAGTTTGCCATCCTTCTCCCGCAGAGCAGCTGGTAGATTCGAACTGCATGCCTTTAGGATTGCAGCAGATTCTTATCATCAGGCCACTAGGAGACTCAATTTTCTCCTATGTAAAAAGGGCTTAATAATATCTATTACACATGGCTAACACATAATACATGGTACTTTATAATTCCAAAATACCACAAAAAGGTAACGATTGGTCTGCCTTGGAGAGGGTGAAATTAAGTTTCTCCTTGGATGCCGGGACTTTGAATCTCTGTCTCCCATACTTTGGGCACGTAGCCAGGAGGGAAGAACATCATGCTCGGAAGGGTGGAGGGGCAGCACAGGAGAGGAAGACCTAGATGAGTTGGATTGATACAGTAATGAGGGCAGAGCAGGCAGGTGTGTTGGAATCAGTGACAGTTGGAATCAGCTGGTGCTCAGGACAGGGCAGGCTTCAGAGCTGTTGTACACAGGGTTGTATCACAGGTGACTCGACGGCAGATAACAACAACAATAGTTAACAAGTACTGGAGAAAACTCAGTGTAGCTTTTTAACACTTTCTCCAAAAATATGGCTTTCTGCATCAACTGAAATTAAATCAGTAATATCAGAATATTAAGAAAAGCAATCCTCTGATAAATTTGAAAACCTAGAAGAAATGAACAAATTCCTAGAAACTCACCCTGCCCAGACTGACATGGACAGATGTAAAACACTTGAACAGATCTATCACAAAAAAGTAATTGAGCAGGTCATAAAAAGACTCCACACACCCCCCCCCCCCAAAAGTCCTGGAACAGATGGCTTTATGGATGAATTCTACCAAACATCCAGAGATTAACTATCACCAATTTGACTAAAATTATTTTAAAAAGTAGAAAAACAATGGACACTCCCAGAGTCATTCTGTGAAGCAAGAGTAACTCTAATACCAAAACCAGACAAAAACATCACCAAAAAAGAAAATTACAGACCACTATCTCTCATGAATATAGAAGCAAAAATCCTTAACAAAATCCTGGCCAACAGAACCCAACAATTTATAAAAGAAATAATTCATCATGACCAAGGGTTGTAAGGATGGCTAAGCAGAAGAAAACAAACCAACGTAATTCATTACATTAACAAAGCAAAGAACAAGAACGACACGATTTGATCAACTGAAGCAGAAAAGGTCTTCAGCAAAATCCAATACCGCTTCCTGATATTAAAAGACTCAACAAATAGGCATAGAAGGGAATTTCCTCAACTTAGTGAAAAGTATATACTCAAAACCAAGAGCCAATATCACTTTCAATGGAGAAAGCTAAAAACATTCCCCTTACGAACAGGGACTAGACAACAATGCTCACTCCTATTCAATATTGTATTGGAAGTACTTGCTAGGGAAATATGATGAGAAGGAAATAAGAGGCATTCAGATTGGCAAAGAAGTGGTAAAACCATCTGCTATACACAGACGTTATGACAGCATACACAGAAAACTCAAGGACTCCATCAAAAAACTATTAGACCTGGCAGATCAGTAGAATAGCAGGATATAAGATCAATATACAAAATTTAGTAGGATTCCGCTATAGTAAGAAAGAAAACACAGAGAAGGAAACTGAGAAAGCAATACTGCTTATAATTGCCAACCACAAACTGAAATACCTGGGAATAAAACTAATAAGAGACACAAAAGACCCTTATAAAGAAAACTACTACTAAATACAACTGCAAGAAACAAAAAGAGACCTAAATAAATGCGAAAAATGTTCCTTGTTCATGGGCAGGAAGGCTGAATATAGTGAAAATGACAATTCTACCAAAAGCAATCTATCTGTTCAATGCAATTCCAATACAGATACCAAATTCATTTTTCAAAGAGCAAGAAAAGGCAATATGCAAGTTTATTTGGAAAAGAAAGACTATGAATAAAGCACTTAGGAAAAACAAAATTAAGTGGAGGCACAGCACTCCCTGATCTCAAAGCCTACTACACAGTCATAATAACCACAACAGTATGGTGCTGGTACAATGACAGACACAGACCGATGGGACAGACTCGAGAAGCCAGCAATTAAATCTTCCCATGGTCAGCAGGTACATGACAAGGAAACAAAACTAATCAAATGGGGAAATGACCTCTTCACAAACGGTGCTGGAAAACCTGGACTGCTCCCTGCAGAAAGCTGAAGCAGGACCCACATCTCACACCATACACAAAAATCAACTCAACACGGCTTAGAGACCTAAGGGTCCACAGCAGCGTTAGTCACAATACCAAGAACATGGAAACAGCCCAAATATTCATCACCAAATGAATGGATTGAGAAACTGTGGTACATGCACATGATGGAATACTATGCAGTGCTCAGGAGCAATGATTTTGAAAAATACTATATAACTTGGGAGAGTCTAGAATGCATTATCCTGGTGAACTAACTCAGTCTCAAAAGGACAAATACTGCATAAGACTATTATTGTGAAAATTGAAGGATAACTAGGAAGACAAGTATAAATGTCCAAAGAGGGAAAGGAAGGGGGCAAGGGAAGTGGGGGGAGAGAGGGGTAAATAATGGGGTTGTTAAGTTTGGTGGTGGAGGGAAGCCGGTAAAGGAAGTAGGAAAGATTCAATGGGGATCTGAAAAGACAGAGAGAGTAATAGTGGGCACAGCTTAAGGGTGATGAATTTTAAAAGACACAATATATGAGAATGATCATATGAAATACAATGTGAATGATTAAAAAAACCCCTCCAAAAATAACATCAAAGTACGTTTAAAAAAAAAAAACCCTTTCAATGAGTATGTTTGGTTTCTACTGAAACACATTATTTGTGCTAAAAAATGGAGGCTGTCAAGGGAGCTCTGGTGGCCTAGTGGCAAGACGCTGCACTGTAATCCCAGAGGTACACAGTTCAAATCCAAAATCCACCAGATGCTCTGCTGGAGAAGGAGGGGGCAATCTCCTCCTGTACCAGTCAGATCTGATTTGATGGTACATGTAAAAATAATACAATAAATATTAAAAAAATTTTTTAAAAAAAGGAGGTTGTCTTACTTGGATAATCTATTGGTTACTGGCATGTAGGTGTCTGTTTATACTATGCTTCTTTTCAGTATCTGGAACATAACAAAGAAAGTCCTCCCAGAACTTAGAAATAAGTTCTGAAAAAACTAGTATTTCCAAGTAAACCAGTAAGTCATCATCAGTTATTATGCTAGGATTAAATTAGCAATGTGAAAGAGAATACACCCTAAGAGACAGTGTGTATGGTCTTTAAGGAACCTGCAAAACATCTCATTTCAGTCAAGGAGGCTGCACTATACCTCGAGTTTGAAAAAAGAACAAAAGGAAATGAAATACTGTATTTCAATGTGACTATCTCAAGTAATGTTGTATTCATAAAAAGGGGAGACAAAGGATAAAGCAAGTATTGTAGCCTCCCGAAAACAGCAGTGTTTTAGGGTAGAGAGTTGCACTGTTTTGGGGAAAGGGGAAAAAAATTTCTCACAACGGTTCACTCAGGCGGTGGAGCCTTCAATACCAGAAAACAAACACGAGGCTGCCAGGCACTAGAGAGGGGTGCCTTCCACTGTGAAGGGACAAATAAATTAGTAGCCTTGTTTAGAAACCAATCTCCTTTGAACCCGTAATTGAGAATTCATTTTTAAGTGCAATGATTTTTTGGTAGAAGTAATGAAAGCAATTTTTGGAACCTTCAAAGGTACAGAGGTCACAGTTTCCTCTTTAAAGTCTAGCCTGCTTATCCTATACATCATTTTAAAAATAAAACTTAGAGGAAATACATAATCCTGCAATTGGTAAATGTGTAAATGAAACCTTCACATAAAGGCAAATGTCACATTTCCTTGCTTTCACTGTGGCATCCCTCCTGTTGTGCAGGGGTCAGTTGATTCCCACTCACAGTGACCCTGTATCACAGAATAGCATCGCTTCAAAGAGTCTTGTAGCTGAAAGCTTTACAAAAGCAGATCTCCTGATCTTTTCTCCCATGCAGGGGCTGGGAGGTCTGAACTGCCAACCTCTTGGTTAGCAGTAAAGCACTTAACCATTGTGCCATCAGGGCTCCTAAGTGAGTATTTATTAGTCATACCACTTTCTAGGTGGTACCATTGGAGGAGGAGTCGGGGGTCAAAATGCCTCATATCCCATCCTAAGACAGAAGGATTTTTTCTTAGGAGTAATAGAGCCATTGACAAATTGAAACCCAGGTAACTTACCTGATGAGATCTGTATTTCGAAACAACTCTTTGAAGGACACAAGAAATTGCTAATACTGGTTGCTTCTGGTAACAGTGCTTCTCCTTTTTAAATTTTCTACCACTAATGAATTATCTCTTTGTCCTCTCTCTCTAAATACATACATACATACATACATACATACATACATACATACATACATACCTACATACATAGACTCAAGTGAAAATCAAAGCATAGGGAGTCTAATTAAGAGTCTACTGTTATAGTTTAGGCAAAAATGAAGACAGTCTAAAGTCAAGCAGGAGCAGTGGGAGCAGAGA